ACAAAGAATACATCCAGGGTTACGGCGGGATTCGAACCCGCTACCTCCACGCTTAACAGAGCGTTTGGACCGGCGATACCGCTCGGCCAGGGAGGCCCCGACATTTTTAGTGGTAATCATTGGTCTATTTTCTAGCGATGCCATTCGGGGAGTTGTAATGAGGCTTTTTTTTGTCGCCGTGTGAGAGAAATATATATATAGATTGTTGTATTGTTAATGTTACATTTTATTGTTGTTACAAAATGATAAAAATTCATTGTATGAATATTAATTAATAATTTAAGAAAATTACTTCAACTATTGTTCAATCATTGTTGCTAGTGTTGCAAAACAGGCAAACAAAATATTTTAGCAAATCATTTCATTAAAATAAATATTTTGTTCAGTTACGTCGCACTAGATCTTCACAATGGGCTATTGGCGACGGTCTGGGAAACATCCCTGAGGATGATCCGAAGACATGCCATCACAATTTTGATCCTCTGCAGAGGGATGGCATCCCCGCTTCGGAAGCCCAACGACTTGCACGCGAAGTCGAGCACTTTACGGTAGAACAGTTTAACGAGGACCAATACCGCACACCATCGGTCCCTACGCAGACTGATCCAAGTGCTCACCCACCCGCACACTGACCGCAGTCAGTGATGCTTCACTTCGGTGATCTGCTGGGAAACGTGTCTTAACGATCAGTTCACTGCTGGACTAAAATAAATATAATTGCGTAAAAAGTAAAATTTTTCAGAAATAAAACATTCACACCCAATAAAGATTTGAAATTTCCAGAAATTTTCCTTAGAATAAAAATTAAAGCTCATTATTTGAATATTAAAGACGAAATAAATAAGCATAGAAAGCAAGTCTAATAGTTTTCGTGCTTTTTACTACAGTTTATAATATTGTCTCGAAGTGGACTAGATTATAATCGATTTATTTACATACATGAATGCCCTAAATAAATTAAGCTTAAATTGACTCACATTTTGTAACTAATTTTATTTTATAACCGTTGTTGAACAGCCAACACAATTTTCGGGTTTAAGACTACTAATGTTCAACTCCATAGCGGGGCCTCCCTGGCCGAGTGGTATCGCCGGTCCAAACGCTCTGTTAAGCGTGGAGGTAGCGGGTTCGAATCCCGCCGTAACCCTGGATGTATTTGTGATGTCTTTCTCTGAATTGTTCTATCTGTATTTTCTACTTGACAATGACTTATAAGCCTATATTGAGCACACAAGTCAGCAAATGTATGTAATTTCAATAAAATAAAAAAATAAAAATCAACTCCGTAGCCTTGTCATTTTGAACCCAATCCAGAAGACAATGGGAATTTCTGGATCGAGCATTGAGAGAAATTTGCCATCGAGGAGGACTTTTTGATGGAACTAACTCGCATTTGCGTTCATGGAGAGGAAGACCACGAGAACCTCTCATGGTTAGCCTGACTGTGAAACAGATTAACTTGAATGCCCACAGATGGCGCTCGAACTGAACGAACATTGTTTTTTTCTCTTCTCTTTTAGTTTGATTTCTACGAAGGATGATCGCTTTTATGTTATGTCCGTCCTCTCATTAAATTTGTTTAATTATTAGAATTCGTTTTCTTTTGAACACAAGCGACGCAGTAGCGAAGTTACGGTAAAAAGATTGAACCAGGTAAGAGAAAAATTAGAATTATTTCTGCTATACCTTTTTCAGGCGGCAAAGGGACTCTAGCCCATGATCCGTCAAACATTGAAGATATTTCACGTTAGCACTGTGGTCGGTGCAAGCCGGATGCGGACCCGGTTCACCTAACTGGGAGGCGAACACTCTATCCTAGGGGTTTCCAACTTACATGAGGCCGGGGGCCGCAATAAAAACTCGTCAAATGGCGGGCGGCAGCTGTATCAAAATTTTACATTAGCCACAAGAAAAGGCTCCGCGGGCCGCCAGTTGGTAACCACACTGCTCTATCCCCTGAGGCATCGCAGCCCTACGGTTCGTGGGCAATGAGTTAAGAACTTATATAGTTTGTGTTAGTTAAGAGAAACACCGTTATATTTTAAATACAGAAGAGCGCCGATTATCCAGACCGAATTTGATCCGGATAAGGAAAGATCCAAATAATTAGACAAACTGAAAAAGTATAAAAAACGACTACATAATAATGTTTTTAAGTAACTAACACTTTTTTCAGGCTTAGGATTAACAATTAAAGTATACTGCCTATTATAGCATATTACAAATAGTGTGATTAAAGGTTTCAATTCTTTTTAAAATTTTATTAGAAACCACTTCCTTTTACATTGAAGCTGTGCGGAACGAACGCGGCTTGAAGCCATTTTTTGACCACTTTCTAACATTCGGCATTTCGGCGAGAAGTTTATTTTTTCTTTCTGGAGATCTGTTTAAGTTGGTCCTTCAAGAATCTGGAGAACACTTTTTAAATAACCCACACGCTACTGTTTTAAAAAGCAATATAAAAGCTTGCAAAGAAACATTTTTCACGACTCCAAATAATAAGTTGGGAATGGATTACAACTGTAATCGTTAACAGATAGTAATCCACTGAGAAATAGATGGATTATAAATTTTCACTTACATGGACAATTGTAGCAATGATAACAATAAGTCGTGTTGCCTCAGGGAATACAGCGTTCGCTTTCCAATGAGGCAAACCAGGTTCGAATCCCAGCGATGGCTGGTCTATACGAATTCCGCACTGACCACAGTGCTGACGTAAAATAGCCTCAGTGGCGGACGGATCATGGGTTACAGTCCTCTTGTCAACCATGGGTGCAGATTAGTTCTATCAAAAAGTCCTCTAGTGAGACTAATTTCTTGCAATACTTGGTCCAGGAGTTCCCTGTTCTACTGGATTGGGTTCAAAATTACACGGCTATAGAGTTAAACATCAGTAGTCGTAAACCCAAAATTGGGGCGGTTGTTCAGTGGTTAAAAAATAAAATATACATATCTTACGAATGCTTGATTAGTTGTAATTAATCAATGTATTGAGAATCAAAAACAATGCTCAATTCGGATTTTAAGGTTGTTACAACTTCGTAAAATTACCATTGTTTAGACAAATATTTAGCTATCTAGGGTTAAATTTGTTACAAGCATTAAGATGCCAAGTAAAACTTTAAACAAAAAGCTATTATATTTCAGTAATCTGCCATATTTGACTAGTTTTGAAACTCTGCTACAGCAAAAAATTTTCAAGAAGGTCGCACTTTATGTTAAATTATAGGAATATTTGATTTTTTCCCTTCGCAGTAAACCTCATTCAATATTCATATTCAAATTTGCCTTGGTATATTTGATGGAACTAACCCGCATTTGCTCTTGGAATGGAGAGGGAAACCACGAAAACTTCCCACGGTTAGGCTGACAAGGGGACTCTAATCCATGATCTGTCTTCACCTGAGGATATTTTACGTCAGTTCTGTGGTCGGTGCGAGCAGGGGGCGTAATTCGTTTCAAACAGCCATCGCTGGAATTCGAGCCTTGTTTGCCTCAATGGAAGGCGAACGCTCTATGCTACAATTGCCAACCAGGCCCCACTTTTTTCATTTTTTACCAAACACAATTCACAACGAAATTAAAAAAGAAATTTTTTTTAAAAATTTTTTTACTGCTCAGAGAACGATCATTCACCATTTCAGTAACCCGAGAGGTATAATTTGATATGGGAACATAGAGGACTTTGTGACGACAGATTTAACGTGTACTAATCACCATTTACTACTCGGGGAATCTTCGGCTGGCTGAAATCAGCAGATTCTCTTTCCTGCCGATACAATTTGCTTCCATAACAAAACAGGAGTGTACCTGTTAATCGAAAGTGTCAGAGACATTTGATAGTCCCGAATTTTTTCTTGTCGTATGCCTATTTAGGCAGTGGGGAGGCGATTGTTATTGGTTTTCAGTGGCGCCATCTATGGCCAGGGAATCGGCTTCTGCCACGCCATTCACACAACCACAACCCGTTCATAGGGCGGGTCACATTCACACACAAAAGAGAAAGGACATAGAACACAGAGAGAGAGATAGAAACATCTATGCCTTGCCCGGGACCTTTCGGATGCAAGGACAGTTACCTGCCCCCTACACAGGCCAGTCGGCTAGAGTCCCGATGAGAAGTCTTTAAAAATAAGTAAATAACATTAGTCTAAAGAGAAGAATTAAATGATGAAATAATGATGGTAGGAGTCAGACAAAATGTTGAGACTCTGGAAATAAAAGTGAGAAAAATTTTCAGATTTACGAGAGTTAATTATTTTTCTCCATAAAGCTTGAGCAGCCCAGGCCCCTATGAATGTTTCAAATAATTTCTTTATGTCGTTTTTCTTTGAGAATTGTGTAACCGAATTATCAGTTAAGAAAAATTTTAATAAATATAAGCTCAAAATTACTAAGATATCGAAATTTACTCATGTTATAATAATTTAAAGGCACTTCATATATCAACAAGTAAATTTGGTTTAAAGCTATGACCAGGATGAGGGGGGGGGGGCAGATTTCTAGATAAGGCCCTGCATCGCATCTAACCCGATGTTTATCAACTTAACTGGTTGCTCTCTGGCAATGATACTTAAACAATTGCAATATCATCTTAATCTATTGAAATTAAAACTATAACAAAACAAATTATTATGAGATACTAAGAATTATGATATAATAACTTTCTAATTGATTGTTCAAGCATTCAACGAAACGATTTCAAAACAATTGAAAAAAATGAATGCTTTATTACCAAATAACTGTTAACTTTCAAAATGTATGAAATAAATGGATGGCTTTTACACAAAAAAAAAACATTAATTAATCATACTTTACTCCTTGATATAAACCTTGAAAGTTTTCAGTGTTTTTCTATATACAACTACTTCCTTTTCACCCGTTGAAACATGATAGATTGCCCCCTCATTGTTTCTTTAACATTTATGCAATTTTTTTGAGAAATTAAAGCTGAAAGAAAAATTAAACATTAAGCCTATGAAAAATAAGGAAAAATATTTAAGATATAAATTTCTTTTATTTTGTAAGCTTTTTTTTTTCTTCAAAATTGTAAACACAAGTCTTAAAATCTATTTAAAATAATGGAATGTTTAATGATGTGATATGAGATTAGAGCAAGATGTATAATGATTGCACGGTGCACAAAAACATCACAAATGAATACACATACATGCACTATAAAAATTGAGCCAGAGTTTTTACAAAGTTTCAGTTTATAGTTGCTTTAAAAATCAGATCCTGAAGATTGTCAATTATCCACAATTATCACAAAAATTCTTGACTATGGTACATTCTTAATTGAGTAAAAGTCATAAAACAATCACAGTAGTTACACATTAAGTTCGCAATAATTAGCTTACAAATAGTTGAAGCTTTTTGACATTCAGTTAAACTTGCTTAAAGTGTTTATTTCACTGATTATTGCAGGTACATATAAATTCCAAGTAGCTCAGCTCAACTTTCGAACCGTAGAAGGAACACACTTCAGAACAAAGGCTTTACTTTTCTAATTGAACTGTTTGACCTAGAAGGTGTAGGAGAGATTGATCTTTTAAACCTCGTGAAAAGCTTTGACGAGAATGGTGTAGTAGAAAGATTTGACGTATTAGTCGATCCAGAATGGAATTTTTCTGAGCCTTTTCCTTTGAAATGATCGTAAACTTTGCTGGTACAGGAGAAACCTATGAAGATGAACAATCCTTGAAGAGTGTTGAGTATTACAAATAAATACCAAAGAGGTTCCACGTCAAAGTAACTAGCAACAAATCCAGTCGTCCACGTCAAACCCATGAGAAGAGCTAATCTCAAATATAACTTATAACTTTGTTTCTGGTTTTGATTTTGTTGTTTGAGAGAAGACTGTTTGGCCATGACAAGCATGCGCGCACTTGAAAAGAACAAACAAATATTGGCTGCCACCACTGCAATCAAAGGTGCAACAAAATATACTAGAAGAGCACGTCTTCTTTTAAACCAGCAACGAGGAGAAGCGAAATTCGGTTTATATTCGTCGGGGAACAAATCAGTAAACTCCGCTATGGCAGCAGTCACAATTATTAACATAGGCATGACCCAAGCAAAAATTGAGTAAAAGAAAAATCGCTTCAGCTGTTTGCCTTTGGCTACTCGAAGTTCTGTAGTCGCCATTTTCAAACATCGCCAAACATCAAAAGCCATCACCGTCATCCAAAAAAAAGAAACTTGAAAGAAATACACGGTCAAAAATGATATTGCAGAGCATGCTTCGAAACTAAGAACTCCAAGTGATCCAGTTAAAAAGCACAAGTACGCGCACAAAAGGGCAATGCAGTGCGATGCTAGATTTTTCCCTGAAAGATTTTGAAGCTCTGGCACCAAGAAGAAAACAATCAAATGAACTACAATGAAAATCATTGAGATTACTAATCCTACTGATGTAACATAACCCATTAAAGGCATGAACTTGAAATTGACCTCATCAGTTAAATGAGAACAAATTAAAATTGAACCATCCGCTGCATGGTACGCTGTAGGCTCATATGTTTTGTTATACTTCGGTACATAAATATTCGCATTAGGGAGCATGACATAATCATCAACAGTTAGTGATATCAACAAGCAGTTCTGAAGCTTGTTGAGTTCTCCGTGTAGAGGTTTGTCAATATTTGAATCAGCTAAACTGTAAACTGTTCGATTCGCAACGTCAAAAGTACCATTTTCAGCAGAACTCTCGCGGTACCCTAACACGGATTGGTCATGATCATCACTTGGACTGAGTTTTATCAGTTCAGGATCTTCCGAAATAATGGGACCATCACCGCTGTCAATGTCATCCACTTTATTTGAATTATCATCTAGGTCTGGTAACCCCCTTGGAACACATTCCGTTCCTTTCTTTTTGTAACCAGGTAAGCAAGCCAGACTGCGACAAACTTTGAAAAAGGGATCGAATATCTCGTCTTCCTCGCAAAATTGAATCATGCCAACATTGTTGCCTCTTCTATCATTGATATCCAATAACAAAGAAAATGCATGGGTGTCGTAAGTGCGATAAGTAGTAATTTCTCTCGACTCAGCAAATTTGCATGACAAGCGAGTTGTGTTGACACCATTGCATAAAGCACAATGCACATTTCTGTACTTGTCGCCTCCATGGATATATCTCGCACCCATATACGAGCGGCACATAGCGCGGACTTCCTCATTTTCCCAATCTGGTGGGCAATCAGATATTAAACCTGGTCTACAGAGTCTGATTTTAGTTTCTAGAACCATAGGCATAAGAGGATCAATTTCGCAGTCATGAAAGAACAAAGATCCATTGTCGCCAGTTAGGTAAAGTCCCCAGCTTTTGTCAGTGGAAGCCAAGTTTTTGAAAGCATATTCATGGGTTATATTCGGTGTGCTTTCGATTAAAGACACGGTCGGACACTCTAGCCTGGGAGTCCACAACACTAAGTTGTCGGTCATATAATTGCAAATACCACAGTAGTAGTTCTTAAAAGTTACTCCAGTCTGATAATTTGTAACAGGCATTGCTCCAATGGGATCCGTCACATCTCCAGGCATCAAATTTTCGCATTGATACCTGACGTCATCAGGGCCTTCGTAAGAATGTAAGCAGGTGTCGATCATGAAGACACCACCAAACTGTTTCATTTCGAGGCAATTGAAATCTGGCAATGAATATTTAACCTCGACATCCGGGGCATCGATGCAGCAATCGCCATAGTCGGCGCACAGATAATCACAGGCACAGTTTTTATCTTTTGGCAGAAGAAGTTCTCGGTTGCCAGATCTGAATCGGTCGTCAGGTTTCTGGCAGCTTTCCAAAGCAGGGCATATGCCGCCCATTTTATGTATTTCACTGTAACTTAGATGAACTTTGGCACTAACAGTCACAAAGGATAGGGCGATGAAGGCCAAGGTGAACATTCCAAAATACGTCTTTCCCATTTTCCTGTAAATAAATAACATTTATTAGTGTGTTTAGAAGCCAAAATAAAATAAAAAAAGTTTAATAACTATTATGAGCCACGATGGTTCTGTGGTTAGAGCTAGCTCGCTTCCCAATCGGTACCTTTTAATTTTTAAGAAACCGGTATCGGAGGCATGTGAATAATTCCAACTCAAGCTCTGATTCTTCCAACTTCACAGCCATATTCAACGTATCAGCAATACGGCGAAAAAATTTGGCATACTCCAAAAAGTAAAAAATGAATTAAATGTGGAGAATAGGTGTTGGGCAACTATATTTTTACTTTATGAATTCCATTTGAACAGTTTGCTCAATTTTGGGTTTACCATTATCAATGTTTAACTCTACAGCCTTGTAATTTAAATCTCTAATCTAGAAATCACGGCATCTCCGGGATTAAGCATTGGTACAAACTACCATTCGTGAAAGACCTCTTGATGGAACTAACCCTCATTTACGTTACACGGAGAAAATACGAAAACTTCCAACGGTTACCCCGACGGCGAGGGGGTTCTAACTCGTGAACCGTAGTCTACTACTGAGGATATTTTATAACAGTATTATGGTCGGAGCTAGCAGCGAGCAGAATTCTAATTTAACAGCCATCGCTGGGATTCGAACCTGGGTCACATCTTTGGGACTTGAGCTCTCTATCCCCTGAACCACGGCAGCTCAACTTTATTTTTGTTCTATGTCGTATCATTAAATATATTTTTTTCACGAGAAATTAATTTTAAAAGTCACTATATTTCTAACTGATCACTACTTTTTGGGACATTGAGACTTAAAAGAGAAAATAAAAATAAATTGCTTTTTAAAAAAAAATTCTTCAGAGGTATGATCTTTCATATTTTTCATTTTATCCCTGGGCGGTAAATAGATTGTAGCATCAAAACTAAAAAAAAGTACATTTTTCAGAATTGCAGACTTAGTAGTGATTTCAAAATAAAAATCAGGATTTTTTTTGGTACAATATACACATACTAAACTATTTTTAAGAAAAAAAATGCAATTAGTTTAGTTTTTTAAGTTGTTTTTTTCGTGCAACATATTTCTTTAATCGTTGGAGAAGAAAAAACATGAGCAACACTGAACGTTCTTGAATAAAAAATTAAGATTGGAACAAGTTGATCAGAAATAAATTTGCAAAACGGCACGATTTCACGCATACATCTCAGAACCTGAATTTTCTTAAATTCAATAGATACCTCAATATAAAAATAAATAAAGTTTAAAAGAATATTGAAAATTATATAGGTATTACCTATACAACCATAAATTACTTATAAACTAAATCGTATGTAATCTACATAGTGAACAATAAATGTATACAAAAATAAACAAATGATAAGAAAACGTTATATCGGCACTTGGTAGATTCAGAAGAGAAAGATCATCTAAATAAAATAATAATAATAAACTAAGAAATTAAACTATTGCTTAAAACATATGAAAATTTAAAAGTACTTTCGATTTTGAAATAACTGAAAAACAATATTTTCACTTCAATTTGACAGACGAGAGACTAAATTTTTTTTTACTTAAAAAAATTATTTAAACGCCACTACTTAATTTGGGCATATATAAAAAATGTCAAAACGTATGACAGCAAAATCGATGACTTTCTTCATCGATGACCCAAAGTTTCAAACAAGATTAACAACTAAAACAACCGAATCTTGAGATTTTTCTAGAATTAAAATTTTAGTACAAAAATCTGAAAAATCATGATAAAAAACTGAAAAATATTTTGGTATCAGGAATATCAGGACAAATACGAGCCTTGAAATTGTGTAGAAAATCAACGAAGAATAATATTTTTCATTTCAAAATTTAACAGCAACAAAGTGAGATGTAAAACTTAGTTACACACAGTTGAAGTCTCCAAAAACATTAATTATTTTTAGAATGCAAACGGTTCCAATAAACTTAGTTAACTCGGAACGGTAAGAACAACAATATTATCAGTCAGATTCTAAGTACACGGTTTCAAACCGGATATTCAAACGATAATTATATTCTCAAACAGATGTGCAAATCCAGTATACTTCCGGTTGTCCATCGCCTCAGTCTTGAAACAAAATGATGCATTTCGAAAGAACGAATGTATCAGAACTTAATTTTTGAGAATTGATAACCTTCATTTTAATTGTAATATTTAAAAGAAGGCATTAAGTTAATCGATCATTTCACACCCAAAACCGCTATATCATGTCCAATCGTGTGTTAAACACCTTGTGCAACCTATATTGCCTCCTGAACTGTGACTCCTCGTTGTTTCTTCAAAATTTATAGTCTGCGTGGAGATTACATCCTGGTTTCTCTTCTCTCTTGACCCCGTTACCTGCCGTTCTTTGGGTGGATTTTCCCTTTCGAAGTTATAAAAAAGACAAGACATCATTAAAATTCCATGGCCCCACTTGATGTTGTGCAAGCGAAAGTTCTTTTTATCATAAAAAGATTCGATGTTCGAAAGTGAACGCTGAGAGAAAGTGGAGGAGTTGTCCTATATTCGTGATTTTAGGGCCTCATGATGGGTAGGTGGCTATTAAAGAAGAAGACCCTCACCTTGGTATCAGATTATGATAGTGGTTGAAGATTAAATTTGACAGTAATTAACCTTCATTAAGGCTGTTTTTCGAATACTCTGTCGTCACATGGAATGACGCTTATTTGCAACTGATATGCTATTTTCATAACTGCTGCAAGTTAGAAAGAGTCATTTACAACTGTTAGGTCAAGTTTAGCCTATTTTTAGTCTGAAATTGGCGCAAAATCCCAATGTAAGGAAAAGCCACAGCTTTGTGAAAATGAAAGACGTTTGTGATGTATATTATTTTTAGTAATTAAAAAGTTACTTCTATGATACATTATTTGAGGACATAAGAATTTGCAAAATTTGAGAATTATTAATTAATTTTAATAATTATTCTTGTTTTTGGAATAATTTCGCAAAATTGGCGATTTTTTTCTAAAAAAAAGTTTAAAAACTTTCAAAATATTAAAGTTTTTTTTATCTGTTCTAAACCCCAGAGAATTCTAAATGGCGAGATGGTATAATTTAAAATTGTAGTTTTGCATGAAGTGCAAGACACTTAACTTAAACTGTGTCTTTTTTTCTTTCTCCTGCGCAAGAGTTTAGAAAAACATTTAAGAAGGAATGAATTAAAGATGAGGGAAGACGTTTTTGACCATTAATCGACCACCCTAACCTTAAAATACATATAGCTTGAGCTGAGTAATGTATTGTGAAATATCGATATTATTTCAACATCGTGATGATAGTCACGATATATTGTGAATACCATATTAAACGATAAGGATAAAATATATAATCATTAAATAGGACGATAATATCGACAAAAACAAATATCTCAAACAATAATATGGCGATATCAATAATTATTGAATACCATATTGTCATGAGTGTGGATAGTTCTCACTTGGTGGTGCAAATATTGTTTGATGTAAAAACACAGTTGATGAAGTTTCAATGGTAATCGAGCAATATGATTAGGTTAAAATTTAATCTCTAGAATCCGAAGCTAAATCTGTGTTAATATAATTAAAAAGTATTTTTTTCTTTTTTAATTCAATACATTTAAATTTTGATGCAACAATCTGTTTATTGTCAAGAAACAAAAATGATTCCTTTTTGGCACTCTTTTTAAGCTTAATTTTAATTGAATTAGGATAGAGGTTTTATAATTTAACACAGACGGGTTTAATGAAGTAATTCATAAATAATTTGAATTATTTCAATCCCCAATGAAGAGCAGCATACTTAACTTAGGCTGGAAATTTAATAAGTGTGAAACTCTTTATTTTGATAGCTTAAACTGTTTACATGACAACTGTTTACATGCACAATAATATTTATTAAATAATATAACAAGAAAAGTTGCATAAATTCCGTATTGTACAGGGATTAATTTTAAATGTGGCAAATCAATCTTTCTTAACTATCATAAATTCTGTAAATTTTTTTCCTGCCGAAGGATGAATCCTTAAACAAGAGCTTCATTGTCCAATAAAAAAATATTTAAAATCTAAAAGCCATTTCACCTTTCGTGGGCAAGAAATCGACGATGTGTGTTCCAAGGACTAATAACAAAGGCAAGGAAATAAATATTCCAATGGAATCTTAGAAATAACGTCAAGACTAACACTAAAATAAATAAACCTAATTTCACACTACTCAAAGATGACAGTTTGACAATAATGTCCTAAATAACTTAAAGATTTTTAAAAAATGTCGTTTATTTGATTTCGATAGAGAAAAAAAAAAAAAAAAAAAAGACTTTCCACGTATTTCGTCGCTTGAATTGCACAAGGGCGTCACTTACGTTCTGTCTTAGAAACTGGCTTCTCTATTTAAATTTATGAACAATGAAAAAAAAAACAGTGATTTCTACTTTTTGAGATATTTCATGAAAACGGAGGCCACCTCAGGGAATTTTCTAAACCGTGAAGATTACAAACACCATTACTGGTCTAACAAGAATAAAAAATTTAAAAAAAAAAAAGATATTCGGACGAGTCCGTAATTTTAAAGAAATTAATACACCATTCTATACTGTCGTCAGGAAAGAAACAAAAAATGTAAACCCAGCTCATAGACAAAAATGTCGAACGGGGATTTAATACGAGAGAGAGGAGTGTATATTCCATAGGATCATTTTAAATGAAAGCACAGAAATAAGCTTTTGCTACTTCCCTAGCAGAAATTAACTTGGACCAATATTCTCGAATCTTGGCTCAATAAGAATTCAAAGGGCCGACAGTGGCCCTACATAGAATTGTCAGATTCACCCAATGCAATGTTTCCCAAACTTATGACTTTTGCGTACCCTTTCTAAATTTTTCGTAACGCTGTGTACCACTAATAAAAAAATGAATGTACTTTTTACCATAAAAAAATTGCACAAAAGTTAAAAATCACAACTGGCTGTTGACACCACTAATTATTAACTGTTAACTCT